TATTGAGAACACATGTATATATTAGACAGACTTATTATGATCTTATCACAATCTTCATCACATTACTTGATCATAATATAATCCAAATTTCTCTCATACCCATATATACAACCCTTTTGTTGTGTTGGACTTGGAGGACCAATCGCAGGATGACAGGGTGCATTTTTCATCATCATGTGCCCCTAAATCCAATAGAAGAACTAGAGGAGGGAGAAGTGCGACCTCCGTGCAAAATCCGTGCATCTTCTTCACAGCCAGTTGCAGCAAACGAGAGCACATCAATCATCCATGGAAATTCTACCATACCATCATATACAAGATTACAAATTGATCCTGCATTAATTGCTTCCATAGCTCCACTTGTCCGGCTTGCCCAAAATGATTTGATAGATCCTCATCTCTTGACCGTGTTTCTAAGCAACCCACAATTGGGATGCCATGAACCTCGGTTGTGTTTCTCCATTTCCTTCCTTGATCGGATGTTTCTAGAAAAACCCTCCATTTTCTAGAGAAAAGCAAAACAAAAACAAAGAAGAATTCCGGCCTTAGTCTTTGCTTCAGAAAAACCCAAAAAACTTATGTCTTGAGTGAGCGGATTAAGGTGATATATATATATCTGATAACAAATAGAAGTTGTGTTTATAGTTTATAACAGCTCAGCGCCACCATATATACCATAAAACCTGAGGATCACTTTTGCTATTTGAACTTAAATTGACTAGCCTGAGAGTTGATGGTCTTGGGTCTTAGAATTTGTATAAAGATTTACTGAGGTAAATATATATGATTGAATTCATTAATTTTAATAAACAATAATAGTAAATATGATTGGAGAAGGTATTTCTGAAATGTAAATTCGTGATTTGAGAGTTACACAACGTGAGTTTATATACATACAATATAACAGAATAATAGCTAAAGGAGCTAAAGACTATGCTGAGCTAACATCCTAATTCTAACTGCCTAATACACCCCCTTCAAGCGGAAGGCGGGCACAGAACGACGCCAAGCTTGAAACGCCGAGCAGTGAACCGAGAGAGAGCAAGTGGTTTGGTGAAAATGTCAGCCAGTTGATCATGGGTAACACAAAATTCACTTTAAGAGCACCAGCCGCCACTTTGTCACGAACAAAGTGATAGTCCACCTCCACTTGCTTGGTCCGTGCGTGAAAAACTGGGTTGGAGCAGAGATAGGTCGCACCAAGAATATCACACCAAAGCACTGGAGTAGTGGGACAATCCAAGGCAAGATCCCGAAGGAGAGACTGAATCCAAACAACTTCAGCAGAGACATTTGCAAGCGCCTTGTACTCGGCCTCGGTTGAGGAGCGGACCAGAGTACGCTGTTTCTTAGAGCCCCACGAAATTAAGTTGGGTCCAAGAAACACCGCATAACCGGCTGTAGACTTCCTATCCAACGAGCAACTGGCCCAATCGGAATCTGAAAAAGGCATGAACCCCAGGTAATAATGAACCTGCAAGTCGAAGACCAAGTGAAAGCGAGCCTTTCACATACATCAAAACACGTTTTAGCACAGCCCAGTTGTCTTCCTTAGGATTGTGCATGAATTAACACAGCCAATTGACATCAAATGACAAGTCCGGCCTCGTGACTAGGCTGAGCTAAAGGCTAGGCTGAACTAACCTCCTAATTCTAACTCCCTAATAAATATGTATATATTTCTAATAAAATTATGATAATTAATTACTTTTTTGAAATACTAATTAAGAGTTCGAGATTTACAAATGTATAATAATATAATATTAATTACTTCCACATATGAAAATATATAGTAATAGTTATTATATATTAATTACTATAATGCTAATTTTATTACATTACTATATTTTTTATAAGCATATCATATGAGAATTTTATTCAATTTGTTAAATTATCAACAATTTATTAATTTATCAATTTATTTTTATATTTACTATATTGCTTAACTTATTTTTATATAATTTGTGTTTGTAATTCAAAATAATAACTTGATTTGTATATTTTTATATTCAAATCAATGTTATCATATCAATTTCATATAAATTTTATAAGCATATCATATGATAATTTAATTTTGTTAAATTTTAGTAATTTATTAATTTAATAAGTTTTTATTTAATCTTTCTAGATGGACTAACTACAACATATTGTTGTGTTTTAACATGTGAAGTACTTGTAGGGTGGATTTTTTTATTTTTATTTTGTTGGGTTCAGTTAGTTGTTCTTTTTGAAAAAGTAATAGTTATAATTCCAATAAATGTACATAGTAATATCATTAAAGTTATTTTATTCCTCCATTAAAGTTATTTTATTCCTCCGTTGTAAAAGCATATTTCACGGGGACCACTTGTTTATGTTGTACTCTTTGCCTTTTGAAAAACAATATTTATAATTTTAATAAATATACATCGTAATAGAGTTAATACCATCTGAGGTCCTCCGAGTATAGTGGTTTTGCCACGTTTAGTCCTAAACTTTCAAATTGACCATCTGTGGTCCTTCGATTTTCAAATTTAACCATTCGTGATCCAAGTTACCACTCATGGTCCTTTAACTATTAAATTTTAACCAACCATGGTCCTTTCAATAGGACCAGATTGGTTAAATTTCAAAACTTGAAGAACCATGGGTGGTTAACTTGGACCACGAATGGTTAAATTTGAAAGTCGAAGGACCACAAATGGTCAATTTGAAAGTTTAGGACTAAACGTGGCAAAACTACTATACTCGGAGGACATCAGATGGTATTAACTCCATCGTAATAATATCACACAAGTCATTTTATTCCTCCGTTGTAAAATCATATGTCATGGGGAGCACTTGTTGGTGTTGTACTACCTACCGTTTTTGTTATTATTTTTGTTTTTATTTTTTGAAGTGTAGTATTTAGTTCCAATAAATACATTTTTATGAACGTATTTATGTAGTCATTGTAGTGCTCGACTTGCTTTCGATTTTGATAAGATTATGCCTTTGTTGCTAATAAGATTATGATAATAAATTACTTGATTCTTAAGAGTTCGATAACAATGATTTTCAAGGTTCTAAATATAGTCCTGTCAAAGCAGGCTGACACATCACACAACAGGCTTAAATATTTTCAATTTTTGCAATCCAGAACTACAAAACTCACAAGCTAGGGTTTAAGTAATCCTAACATATCCCATCCAAGTTGGCGGACCCCATGGGTTGGATAAATATGCTTAACTTTTTTTTTTTTTTTAAAGTAACAATTCAAACCACGATTGGTAAATAAGAATAAAATTCTTTTTAAAGAATAAAAATAAGTACATTACAAGATTACAAATTAATAACATATACTCCGTATATTTTTGTTTATACCTATAAAGGGTTTGACCCACCACCGGTTGACCCGCCCCACTCTGGGGCAAGGGCGGGTCGGTATATATATAGACACGTAATATGATAAATTAATCAATATTTAAATTGTTATTATACATTCATATAAATTAAATTTATGATTTCAAGAAAAATTATTTTTTACATTACAAAAGTATGTCATCAGCTAGCATACAATAAATGATAATATACTTTGAAAAAAATCACAATTTTAATTGTTTAATTGTTTCTAAATTGTCAATGTAATTTTATTTTTTAATTTTTGAAATCTAGTTCTCTAATTATCCTAAAAAAAATATATAAATTTAGTCATAGTATTATATGCTTGATTATTTTATTTTACTATATATTTATACACAAGGGTTTTTTTTTCTCTCTGATTTCTCTCTCGCTACTTTCGCGAGTTTTCTAGGGTTTGCGAGTTTGGCTTGATTTTGCCGGCGATCAACTGGCGGAAATGGACAGCGGTGTAGTACAATGGCTGAGAGGGATGTGGAGGACTTGTGTGCGGGTTTAACGTTGGCGGATGTGGAGGATGGCGACTATACGGTACAACTCCCCCATGAAGCAGGTGAACAGACCATTGACAAAGACACGTTTTATGCGGTGGGAAGATTGGTAACGAATCGCCCGGTGCGTTTTCCGTTCTTTCAAGACACTATGGCCGGGGTATGGCAAGCTGCTATGGGGGTGAACATGCGGGAGCTACAACCTAAACGTTATCTAATCCGTTTCTACCATGAAGGGGATCTTCTACGCATATTGAACGACGGACCATGGGCTTACGAACAGAACTTGTTGATTATGAAGAGACTGCTCCCTGGTGAAGACCCTGACACAGTACAGCTCTCCCATGCGGATTTTTGGGTCCAAATTCACTCTTTACCAGTCGGCTTCCGTTCGGAGGCTGTGGTTACGGCTGTGGGCACATTCCTTGGCACGGTGGTGCAGGCGGACGATCGGAATTTCGATGGCTCGATGAGGGCCTTCTACCGGGTGCGTGTCACATTGGACGTAACGAAGCCCTTGAAGAAACAGATGAAGTTGAGGAGGGATGCAGGCTCTTGGTCGTTCATAGACTTCAGGTATGAGCGTCTCCCAACATTTTGTTTTCTTTGCGGGTTGATAAGGCATGGGGATAAGCATTGCAGATTGGCATTAAATCGTGTTGATCCCAAAGCGGAGAAACCGTACGGTGCGTGGCTTAGGGCCGGAACGCGACGGGGTGCCCCAACTATGAATCAGTGTTGGATTCCACCTGAATCAGCAGTGGATCGGCGGAGTTGGAGGTCTCCGGCTATGGTGTTGAATGCCGTAGTTGAAGGGGATGTGGGGCAGCAGGTCCAGCTGGGCCGTGATTTAGGCAGTGGGGTTTCTGCTAGTGCACTGGACCGAAATATGTGTGAAGGGGGATCTGCATGTGTTGCGGGTGTCCAAGCTGTTGCGGCAGTGGGGTCGGTTATGGCAGCAACACAGCAGAATCTGGCTAGTTTGGTGGTTGGTTTGGTTGTTGGGGAGCAGAAGAGAAGACGGGTAGAGGAGGGTGAGACAAGTCTAGTGGATTATGATGAGAACTGTGAGACAGTTGTTTCAAAAAACGGAGTAGAGGCGAGTCTTGCGGTGCAAGCCCGCCGAGAATTATGAGTATAATTTCATGGAACTGCCGGGGGCTTGGCAACCAGACGGCAGTTCAAGTGTTGGCGGACCTGGTCCGTTCGAAGAGGCCGAGTGTGGTTTACCTTATCAAAACGTTTGTGGATAAGCAACGAATGGAAACAATCCGGGTGCAGTTGGGTTATGACAATGTGTTTACAGTAGACGCTGATGGTCATAGTGGTGGGCTAGCCCTATTATGGAATAATATAGTGGAGTTCGCGGTAACGGGGTACTCAAGTAATCATATTGATACTGAAATCAGGCTCGATGTGGGATGCCCATGTTGGCGGTTTACAGGGTTTTATGGGTATCGGGAGAGACAACGAAGGCGGGAGGCATGGCAGTTGTTACGGACTTTATCTGCACGCTCACAACTACCGTGGGTAGTTATGGGTGATTATAATGATCTTTTGGACCAGTTCGAGAAGCGGGGACGTGTTCCACATCCGGGGTGGTTGATAAATGGGTTTAGGGAGGCGGTGGCAGATAGTGGTTTGCAGGATGTACCTTTTGGGGGACATCAATATACCTGGGTAAAGTCAAGAGGCACAGATAGAATGATTGAAGAGAAATTGGACCGAATTCTAGCAAATGACAGTTGGCTTAATTTGTTTGAGGGGGTACAAGCGCTCTCGTTGACAGTTCCTTATAGTGACCATCGACCGCTGATTTTAACCCCTGTTACTTTGCCGTCAGTCCGTAAGAGAGCCAGGTTCTGTTTTGATAATATGTGGCTTCGGGAGGAGGCGTGTAGAGAGATTGTTACGCATAGTTGGGATCGGTCCATTGGCCTGGATACATTAGCCAGAGTAGAGGCTTGTGCGCAAGATATTTCTCGGTGGGGCCGACGCTATAATAAGGATTTCCAGCGGAAAATTGAGCTAAATAAACGCCGATTAGATTTGCTTAGTTCTCATAGGGATGAGTCCGGGATGCGTGAGTATGAGGTGGTGGAGAGGAATCTGCTTTTCTTGTTAGAACAACAACACTCCTATTGGAAACAACGTGCAAAAGAGTTTTGGTATGGGGGGGGGGGGGGGGGATGTGAACAGTAAGTTTTTCCATAACTCTGTGAAAGCTAGACATCGTAAGAATTCTTTTAAGAGGCTCCAGGATGAGGATGGGAATTGGGTGGTGGATGAGGCGGGTCTGGATAGTGTCATGTTGAACTATTTTGCAGGTTTGTTTTGATACTATATCGACGAAGGTTACGGCTGCGAATAATGCTAGGCTTCTCCGGCCTCTTAGTATGGAGGAGGTGTGTATCGCTGTGCTTCAGATACACCCGGATAAATCCCCTGGACCTGATGGTTTTGGCCCGGGGTTTTTCCAGTTTTTTGGGACATTATGGGAGGGGAGGTCACGGCTTTTTGCAGAAGGTTCCTTGAAACAGCTGAGCTCCCCCAGAAGGCCAACGACACTTTTATAGTGTTAATACCGAAGAAGACGGTCCCAGAAACGATGAAAGATCTACGCCCGATTGCGTTGTGTAACGTAGTCTACAAAATAGCAGCGAAAGTGTGTGCTAACTGGTTAAAGCCTTTGTTGCAGAATTTGATTTCAGGAGCCCAGAGTGCTTTCATTCCTGGCCGCTTAATTACAGATAACATTATGTTGGCATATGAGGTACACCATCACCTGAAGAAGAAAACTCAGGGTCGAGAAGGGGTTGTGGCATTGAAGCTTGATATGTCTAAAGCGTATGACCGGGTAGAATGGCGGTTCTTACAGGCAGTGATGATTAAATTGGGGTTTGGTGTGCAGTGGGTCAATATCTTGCTTGAAACGGTAACATCAGTGCGTTACCATATACTACATGAGCAGCGAAAGGTGGGACCTGTTATCCCAGGTAGGGGCCTCCGGCAAGGGGACCCGTTATCACCTTATCTGTTCTTATTTGTGGCTGAAGGGTTGAGTGCGATGATTGAGAGAAGAATGTCTCCGGGCGAGTTGCATGGGGTTACAGTGGCAAGAGGGGCACCATCCATTTCTCATCTCCTTTTTGCGGATGATTCCTTCTTGTTTCACCGTGCTACTGTTGAGGAAAGTGTGCAGATGAGGTATGTCCTGGATACCTATGCTAAGGCATCGGGTCAGTATATTAATTATGATAAATCTGCTGCCTGTTTTAGTGCTAATGTGCCGCAGAATATTCGGAATGATGTGGTTGATATACTAGGAGTGGAGGAGGGTTTGACTAGTGGAAAATATCTGGGGTTACCCTCGCTTGTAGATAGGAGGAAGAAGGCCATCCTGGGGTTTCTGAAGGACCGGATACTGTCTAGGGTATGGTCGTGGAATGCGAAGTTTCTGTCTAGAGCTGGGAGGGAAGTCCTTTTGAAGAATGTGCTACAGGCGATGCCGGCATATGCTATGTCGGTGTTCTTGCTTCCCATTGGCCTGTGTCGGGAGATGGAGGTCATTATGAATCAGTATTGGTGGACAGGAAGGATTGGGGATGGCCGTGGTATTAGGTGGCGCTCCTGGGAAGGGTTGTCAAGGCCCAAGGCGAATGGTGGAATGGGTTTTCGGCGCCTGCATGAGATGAATTTGGCCTTACTTGGCAAACAGGCGTGGAGATTGGTTACGAACCCCACTAGTCTACTTGCTCGCGTGTTTAAGGCACGTTACTATCCTAGCTGTGAATACTTTGAAGCCGGGGAGGGAAGTAATCCTTCTTTTGTTTGGAGGGGCATGTTGGAGGTTAGAAGCTGTTTGAAGGAGGGGTGTAGAAGGGCGATTGGGGATGGGGGTGAGACTTCTATTGGCTTGGATCCTTGGCTCCCGGTAGATGACAACCCATATGTGGAGACAGACTTGCATCCATCAGTCCGAACGGCTCCGGTGTCCTCTCTTATGAATATGCATGGTACAGGGTGGGATGTTGAGTGTGTTAATGATATTTTTAATGCCCGGGATGCTAACTTGATTTTAAATATTCCTGTTAGTGTGCGGAGGCCGCGAGATCAGTGGATATGGCAATGGGATCAGAAGGGTGCTTATACAGTTAAGTCCTGTTACAAGCATCTCACTTTGGTGGCAGCAGATGACCGCCCATAGAATAAGATATGGAACCTACATATTCCCCCGAAGGTGAAGAATTTTTGTTGGCAGTTGGCTTCTATTTATCTCCCTACACGGGATATTCTGCAGTTAAGAAATGTTGAATGCGATTTGTATTGTCATATGTGCAGTTGTGTGCAGGAATCAGCCCTTCATTTGTTTGTCTACTGTGCTAAAGTGGCACAACTGTGGAACAAGCTGGGGTGGCCACAAATCAGTGACTTTGCTGGTAATAGTATAAGTGATTGGTTTTTTTGGGCTATTAATTTGTTGGATGTTGACTCTCTGCCTAAATTTCTAATGACTTGTTGGGGTGTGTGGGGAAGCAGGAATGATAGTGTGTGGAAGGGCGTGGTTTTTTATATAAATGTGGTGCTGCGTAGGTCTATGGTGTTCCTGGATTGTTGGAGGAGTGCAAATGAGGGAACTCCAAGGGATCAAGAACATTTGAATGTTGTGTCATGGTCAAAACCAGCGCATGGGAGACTAAAGTTGAATACAGATGTAGCACTGAGGCAGGAAAGTAATGAAATGGGGTTAGGCTGGGTTCTGTGAGATGATAATGGAGTTTTCCTAGCGGCCAAGAACATGAGGATTCCGGGGCTTTATATGGCTAAGGAGGCGGAGGCTCTAAGCATACGAGAGGCTTTGAGTTGGTTAAGGTCTACTGGAATGGGAGATGTCGATGTGGAAACAGACTGTCAAACCGTTTTTAATGCTTTACGTTCACTGTCTTTTAATTCTAGTTTTGGTATTTTAGTAGAGGACATTAAAGTTTTAGCTTCTGAGATTGTAGATGTTGAATTCTACTGTGTAAAGCAATCTGCGAATAGTGCCGCCCATATTGTTGCTAAGGAGGCCTTTTCTGTGTCAGGTTGCGGAGAATGGTTTGATTCTCCTCCATCTTTCCTTGTGAACACTCTTATTCATGATTTAATGAATTAGTTTTTCTTTCAAAAAAAAAAAGAAAAAAAGTAAGGAATCACACTGATGATTTGAAAACACTTGAAGGCCCACAATTATGATTTTTTTAATTAAAAAGGAAAAAGTAAAATTTTCATGCATAAATAATAGATGCATTAATTAACACCGAACCTATATTTGATCATAAATTTAAAATTACTTTCATAATCTAAATTAAATTTATTAAATCTCAAATTTTAATGAAAAATAAATTCGAATCCAAACGGATTGGGACAATTAGGGATGACAATTCAACTCGTCCCCGTCGGAGAAAACCGATCCCCGCCCAGACGGGGACGAGTTCGGAGAATTTTTTCGGGGAACGGGGACGGGGATGGGGAGAATTTCCCCATCCCGGGGATGGGGATGGGGACGGCATTCCCCGCCCCGACCCCGATCCCCGATTCCTTGTATAATATTATATAATATATATATATATATATATATATATATATATATATATATATATTTATTTATTTATTTATTTATTTATTTATTTATTTTATTAGTAATTAGTTTTGATTAATATGTTTATGTAACTCAATCTCGTAGTAATACTTTCTGTCATGCTAATAGATCAATTTAATGATTGAACAAATGTAACTGTATAAATGATTTGGAAGGAGGCAAATGATTGTGCACTACCTAATGTGTTTATGTGATACTAATTTGTTTATGTAAACTATTGTCGTAAACTGATTTGTTTATAAACCATATAATGTTGATTCTTTATCAGTTTGCGCTATATATACTTGATTAATTTTATTGTGATTGATGTTTATTCCTTAATATTAGTTTTTTCTTCATTGACATAATTCAAAAAATGGGACGGTGATTCCCCGTCCCCGAAAAATCCCCGTGGGGACGGGGATGGGGCATATTTTCCCATCCCCGACGGGGAACGTGGCGGGGTCCGGGAACAGGGAGCTATTTCAGGAACGGGAATGGGGACCCCATTCCCCGCCCCGTTTCCATCCCTAGGGACAATAACGTGTTCAGACACAACATTATATTTTCTTCCCTATATAAGAGCCGCCCAACCGTGCTTTAATTTCTTTGTTTTTTTTTTTTAAAGGGAAATTGCAATACTTCATTTATATCAAAAGTTCAATACATGAAGGAATATAATCAGACCACATAGAGGGACCAGTAGCAGAACGAGCAGTTCTAGCCATAGCATGAACGAGCTTATTCACTGATTTAAGGATAAATAGATAAACACTGAACCAAAGTGTCGTTGAATATCACGACATTTCTTAATTACACAACCCGCACAGGAGAAATCCAAAAGAGAACCATTGAGGAGATTACACACCACTTGACAATCAGAAAAGATCACCACATTATTGAGCCGACGTTCATAAGCCCATGACAGTGCCTCCTTAATGGCGTTGGCTTCTGCCAAATGAGCATCCTTTAGACAACGGACAGGTCCGTTCTTGGCCGCAACATAGTTCCCATAATCCCATCACTATCCTTTAAGACAGCGCCAAAGCTAGTGAGATTTTCTTCTGGGAATACTGCATCATCTACGTACAAAGCAAAAGTGTCGTCTGAAACCAACACCTCATTTTCTGAATTCACATTTGACCATGTAACACATGTTTATGCCCCTGCAAGATCTTACCAGCTATCCAGCAACCTAGATATCTCCATGAGAACCGATGGAGCATGCCACACTTTCTGATTCCACACAACATTGTTTCCTTCACGCAAAATGCACCATAGTCTGGCAGTACACTGGAGCATGAAGGACTTACCACCTAGCAACCGTCCAGCAAGCCATTCTCCAAAGCTTTCATCTTCTATTGGTAATAGGCAATTTGATAGAGGTGGGACATAGCATGGAAACATGCATGCATTCACACATAATGTGCTTCAGTGATTCAGCTATCCAACTCAATGTGATGAACTGTCAAAGCTAATAGAGTAGGAACAACTCCATGAAGACATCTCCATAAAAAGTTCTTGATATTAGGAGGAATTTTCAGCCGCCATAATGCTTGCCAAGCACTCAAATTACTTCCAGTAGCAGATTCTTCTGTCAATAGCCGGTAGCCTTGACTCATTGAATACATGCCCCTTATATCCCCTCTCCAACACCACTGGTCTTCAAATTGAACAACAACTGGAAGTGTCCGTATAAGATCAAATCCCGGGGTTTAAATAACCTGCTCAGCAGGGTCTATCAAATCGCTCACCTTCATACTTGCATTATTATCAAGAATTGGTGAGCGAATAAAGGGATCAGCAGGAAAGGCAGCCAAGGTTGCTTCCAAACAAGAGTTGACGCTCCATTACCAATTCTGCGAAAACAACCACGTTGGAGAACTTCCTGCCCCGCAAGAATAGAACGCCAACAGTAGCTAGGATTCGCTCCAAGACTAGCTTCTGTAAACTCAGTTTGAGGATAGTATCTTGCTTTGAATATACGCGCAACCAAGGATTGAGGGTTTATAAGAAGGTGCCAATCCTTGTTTCGCCAATAATGCCACGTTAAATTTGCTTAGCTTCTTAAACCCCAGTCCTCCATTCATTTTCTGTTTACACATACGACCCCATGAAATCCACCTTAGGCCACTACCTCTCCTACCATTGGATTCTCACCAAAATTTATTCATGCAACGCTCAAGCCTTTCACAAAAAGAAACTGGTAAGAAGTAGATGCTCATAGTATAGGTTAGAAGCGCTTGGGCCACACTTTTAAGAAGAATTTTCTTCCCGGCTTGGGAAAGAATTTTCTTATTCCACCCTCCTAAACGGTTCGCTATCTTTGCCTCAATGAAGGAGAACACTTCTTTTTTATTTCGGCCTATCCCCATTTGCAATCCAAGATACTTGCCAATATTATCAGTTTGTTGGACATTAAATATTCCTGCAACTGCATTCCTACTAGTCATAGCTGTGTTCCTGCTAAAGATAGCACATGACTTATTATAATTCACAACTTGGCCAGATATTTGCTCATAGCTATTCAGACAGTCTTTTAATGCATTGGCTTCAGAAGGTGTAGCTTTAAAGAAGAGCAAACTGTCGTCCACAAAAAAAAATAAGTGCGAGACTCCAGGGGCCACTCTAGCCACAACACAAGGGGAGATTACACTTTGCTGCACTGCTGTAGATAAAAAAAATAAGACAAACCCTCTACACGCAATATAAATAAATAGGGAGATAATGGGTCCCCTTGCCTCAAGCCACAGGATGGAAGAATAAAATCAGATAAATTACCATTCACTGCAACCTTATACCTGACCGTGGTAACACACCGAAACACAAGCTCAATCCACTGATTAAAGAAGCCCATACGTTCCATCATCTCCTTCAGAAAAAACCACTCTATCTTATTGTAAGGTGATGTGTGTCGAATCCAACAAATAATAAATTACTTACTCTTAGGAATTGCAATAATGATGAGTAAGGTCGTACCCACAGAGATTGGTTAGACTTATTTTTAATTAAAGATTTAATAAAAAATGAGATGAGAATTAGAAATTAAATAGCAACAATAAAAAGGCAAACAATATGAAACATCAAATAATCAATATCAACTAGTATCCAACTAAAGGAATAATATCAATTGAATTCTAACAAGACAGATCATTTATTTCCAAGAATAAATTACTTTACTCTTTACCAAATTGGTTATGGTTATTAACAAGCTCTAACAACCTATCTTTCCTTACTTTGTCCATAATCAAAACAAGCTCTATGATTACTTCCCTAGCTAATAAACAACCCTAAACAGGCTCTTAGGATTTAATTTACTAACAGCATTAAAAGAATTAGAAAGATTACCAATTCTAGCCAACAAAATGAAAAGCATGGTTCATTTAAACTAGACTATATATCTTTCATAACACAAAATTGAAAATCCATATATAATCAAATTGTGCTATTTGCTACCAATTTTAGAACACTTAAACAATTACGGATTCAAGGTTCTAATTAGCAACTTAATGACTTGACAATTGAACAATGGACCATTTGCAACAATTAATCAAGCAATAACTAAAACTCATATAACATGAGATATATAAATAATAAAGTGTAAAGAATAAAATAAAGTTAAATAAATCTCACTGGTCTTGTAGAATCATACTTCAATAATCCTTGAATTGAAAAATTTGAACTCAGCAGTACATTGCAGAAGTGTTTACAGAGTAAAATAAAATTATTCTAAGAAAAACTGACTATCCTCTACTGAAGAATTCAGGCCTATTTATACTAATTCTAGCTATCTAATCTGCAAAAATAACCCTAATTTCCCTAACATCCACAAATTAAATTAACTCAGTAGAACATGCTCCAACCTCTAATTCACTTGATTTTGCTTTGATTTCGTCCACTCGTGGCAGCAGTACTTCGTGAACCTCGTTCGCCCGTGGAGTTCCTTCATCGAAGAAACTCGTGGAAGATTTCGTAGAAGAGGTCGCCGACGCATCAATCGCAGAAGCCGATGTCGTCGCTGCTCCGTTCGTAGAAGAAGTCTCGGTTGTCGTTGGCTCTGCTATCTACGTACGTATTGTATAAGGGAAAAATAATAAGAAAAGAACAAATATATTAACTGAAGCTTTGGCCTGCTGAAATCATAA